CGAACCACGTAACGTCCAATCACGTCACGACCAGCATGACGGTGACGGCGATGGTTCACACCACTACCACGGCGAACGGGAAACGACTGGTCAGAACCGAGTCCTACCAGGAGGAGACCATCGAAGACGAGGAGTACCCAGAGATCATTCCCAAGGAGCCGCAGAGGAAGGACTCCCAGCTGTCGCACCAGAGCCAGCTCAGTCAGCACTCTTCTCAGCACAGCCAGCACTCACAGAAACCGAAACTCACCAGGGGAGATTCCTACGCTTCCGATCACTTCCCCGAAGAGTCCTACAGCAGAAGGGGTTCCTACGTTCAGCCGCCGAGGAAGGATTCTTTCTCGTCGACCACGCAGGAACCTTTCAAACCACCTCTGACCAGGACGGACTCTTACCAGAAGAGAGGCAGCTATGCACAGAACTTCAGCGCCCCGCAACCTATATCCAGAGCTGAGAGCTATCAGCGTGGATACTTCAAGGACCAAGAGTCTATAGAGGAGCCGGAGGTTGTTCTGAGCAACGTCGTCAACGATGATTACAAGATCAGGGACGAGTCTCTCGAAAGGTAATTGTTTGCGGTGTGATTCTTCTATGAGTAGCAAATGTACTTCGTTGGAATATTGTTCTTTTTATTTTTTGGTAGAGTGTGAATCTGGGAATTTATTTAGATTTATTTAAACTGAAGGGTGCAAGTAGTTCGTTACAGATTGTAAGATGGTTTTGTAATACAAAAGATATTTCTTTTCATGAGAAAGATATTTATCTGATTGTTCTTCTTATTTCTTGGTACAGTGTGAGTCAATGGATTTACTTAGATTTATTTCAATTAAAGGGTGCAAGACATTCATTACGGAATTTGAGTGCCGGATGAAATTTTCATACATATGAAAATAGTATTTCTATACACATTTCATAGAAATATGAAAACTCCAAAATCGTAAAAGTTAAAGCACCCGAATGATTCTCATTCTCGTTCAAACTGGTCAAAACCCTTAAAGAATCATGACTACTCTACTCTGTAGTTACTCGTGACTAGGTCGAGGGAATATCGTAGTATCTAAATTGTAAATAATGATTGAATCTCTGCATTGTTCTTTCAGGTACGAGCGAGCCGATGAAGGGATGCTTCGTAGCTCTCGAGAGGACTCGTTAGTGGATACGTACAAGACAACGCCGCCGATGTCGCACACCGACAGCCCTCGTGGTAAGCTTTGTAATCGTAATTGGCACCTACTCTGATCGACAAGTTATGAATGTGGATTATAATGCATTTAATCGTTGCCTGGCAGGGAGTATAACGAAACAAGCATCGTTGGAAGAAAGCGTCCAAATGGACACTCCGCCGAGGAGTCCACCGGAACCGCCACCAGATGAGGAGCTCCTCGAGATGGTAGGGGCTGCACCAGTGCCTACACAGCTGAAAGAACGACCAGAGATGACAGCGAAACAACGATGGCATTGGGCGTACAACCAAATCGTCATGCAGCTGCGGGTGAGTAGCTTTACGAGCTGTACTTCGCTTTGTAATGGATATGAAACATGTAACACAAGCTTCTACTGATGAGAAACACGGATAAACAGATAAATAGGTTCATAGGTTCATTCATTCCCTGAGAAAACGAAATCATCCAGTACCAACAATTTTTTTAATATTTTGGGCAGGCGACATTGTCTTTAATTACCAAGAATCGTTGTAACCAGACGTACATAACAGGTTTATATTGTAGACAGACACCTTTAAGGGTTGTATTACCATGGTTGAGTCTTGCGTTCTCTATGTAAATGAAAGTCTTTATAAAAGATCATTTGTTTAATCTGAGAACTACGACAAGTAATGAAAAGTATTAAGATCTTTGTGTCAGCGTAGGTGAAAGCTCCTATCAAAGTGTCCAGATCCATAGATCGCCCAATAGCCAAACAATCGAGTGAAAATTGCTTTCCATTTCACCGAAACGGTAGTCAACGACCTCGGTTGGCGACCTTCCGAAAAATGCGGCCACTCGATGCCGGCGACCCGCATTTCCCTGGCAGTCCTTCGCAGATACAACGTCGGCCTTGTCAATCATTACCTTCACGGCGTAACGATTCGTCACGTACGCTCGTCACGGTTGAAGCTACCGAGTGGTTTATCACCTGCGAAACGCATCATTCATCGCGTATTGGAAGGTCGCCACGAGTCCGTTGATCTTTGGCTCGAGATACGACGAAAGACCCCACACCACTCTTGGAAGTCACACGCGAGTGTGTGCGACTCGAGGATGATTTATGGTTAGCAAACGGCTCGTTGGCAAGCTAAACTCTTGGTTTGCACTGTTACTAGTGGATTATGCGAACGCGTTCCCTGAACGTGGGTTTCTGTACCTCAGGGGCGAACTGTATCAAGTCCAAAATAGACGTACATATGTACTATAAGAAGGAATTAGTATTATTTTATGTTATTTATACTTTAAACTCTATCGAGTATTGAAATAACCCTACACCGAGATGTAATGTACACAGCAACCCATTCTCTTCCATTGTAGATAAATTCTACTGTCTTGAAGAGATCCCACAACAAGGGATGAAACAGTGGGTTTCTATTTTATTTTCGTAAATAGTATTTTTCCTCTTCTTCAATTAATTGTTATCAATCATATCAGCCACACAAAAGAGGTATTAGATTCTATAAAGAATACATTGAGTCGTTACCATAAATATTCGTACCCTCTGTCTATTGAAGAAGTTTGACTAAATTCAATTATAGTTCCGATATTACCAAATGAATTTTTCGTTATACATATGTATAAGCTTATTCATGTTCAAACCATAAAATGAAAAATTCATCTGGTAACATTAAAATTTTTATTTAATTTAGTAAAACTTCTTCAATGGACACAGAGTGTACGAATATTTATGGTATCGACTGTATTTATTCTGTGTCACCTTCTTTAATTACAATGTGGATAAATTTACGCGACCTAGGTTCAATCAGCTAATCTTAACTAAAGATCTCAATTCGCTTGCTCGTTCACGCATAGCCTGATTAACGTCCAATTGAGTCAGACGTCTGGAAACTGCATCGCCACGTGCTAATTCGATTCCCAACAAAATAGAACGAGACATTTCTTTACGATTCGACTAGTATCGAGTCGCCGAACCCCCATCCTAGATGACACGCGCACGTATAAATTACGAGTAATGCGTGGGCGATATCGCGTTGGAAACGAACGGTGCCGTCGTTATCTCTACGAGCCATTAGAACTGTACAACGAATGTTCATTAAAAGTTTTATGGACTATCACGTGGAGAAATACGAGATTATCAACACGTATGCATGGATACGATCAGCGAGGCGAACGAAAACAAGTCGAATCGAGGCGATCCGATCTGAAAAGGGGAAGAAAAATAAAAGAACGGAGAGATTTCGAAATCGAAGCCTGTGTCGTCGAAAGGAATAAAGTCGGCGCTATCGGGTATGGCCAGTCACCTTGAAAATGGCTCCGGAGAGCGACGAGTGGAGGATTAACAGCGACTGACACGAAACTTCCATTAACGCAGCCTTGTCGCCCAATCATGGCCCCCTAAGTACGCACCTGGCGCGCTCCTGGGAGCCACCGTAGTCGATTAACGGGACCGGGAAACTCACCCCTGAAATGGAAAATGGAAATTCGCCTGGGCCAACAGCGGGGGACGAAGTTAGGACTGCGACAACGACTGTTTGCTGGCGCAGTCCGGCGTTCAAAATTGTACCGCCTGCTGCAGTTGCAGATGGATGCGGGAATTTGCATTTCCAACATCGATCCTGAAGGTGCAGACTCTACTGCGCTCGATGTTGCGTCTTGCGACGTTGATTTTTATTTATGATTCTGTTCTACGATTTAATGAGGAGTCTTCTTAGAAACGGCGTAGATGGTTTATTAAATGAGATGTGATGCTTGTGAAGGATTTTTTGTAATGAGAATTGAGTTTGTTTTTTAGTAGGAAGGTACGAAATATTTTAAATTCGAAAATCTGAGATACTCCGTGTCACTTGTGGATGATACCAAATATAACCTAAAGAAATCCTTTTATTTATTATTTATAAATGGGATATTCTGATATATCAGATTCAATACTAAAATTTAAGAAGATGAAGAATATAATTAAAAAATATTAATACAGACAAATATGTCGGAATATTTTCTGATAAATTGTATTTGTAAAACAATTTTTTAACGAGTCAGTAATATCATCGGATGCAAATAATGAAAAAGTTGAGAATAGGAAAAATATAAATTATACCTTCGCACTTGTCTAAGAATGTAAGATTGATGAAACCATAAGTGAAGTAAATCTGGAAGCTCGAAAAAGTTCAAACCAAGACCACTCTTGTCTACTAAATCACCAAGTGGTCCATCTCGTCTATGTTTTATTAAACTTTCCTTCTTCTCTTAAGCGTACAGATTGCGTTCAGCGAAAAGAGCGATGCGTTCGGATAAGCTTCCTCTCGAAGATATGGGCCATCGTCAGTGTCCAAGCGCTGTTTTACAGAACTGCTTTCCACTGAAAACTTTCAAACATCTCATTAACTTCCATTTCACGACGAATCGAGTTCGCTTCCGTGTTATGGCGGTTGGTATTATATCACAGGGGATAATGCATAGCCACCTTATTTCCTTTGCCACTAGAAAGAACCACTGGGAAAACCGTTTGTCTGAGAGGCTCTTTGTTACTTGTAACCCAAGAGTGGAGCGATTTGCAAGAGCTCACAGACGTCAGCGGCTGCTACCTTTATACTCCATTCTTTCCGATTCCCTAAAATGGCACTCACGTGTAGACGCCATTTTATATCGTATCCAGACCCGGGTTTCACTGACGTTACTTCATATTTGACGAATTCCCTGAGCACCGTTCCGTTTTATCGCTCCCGTAAAGATCTACTCTGCTATTCTTGGACTCTGCTCGATCTGCACTTTATTTTGATCCCCTCGGGTACTTCTCACTTGAACACTCTGTACGTATCTGCTCTTTGCTTCGAGAAATGGTAATACGTTATTGATGTATGATTACGGACGTACCGGTGAAAGGTGTCGATTTCTTCTTGATATCTTCGAGCAAAAGAATTCGAGAAGAACGTTCGCCTCAAACCAAATCCATGAAGGAACTCTGTTCTTTGAAAAGATGAACACCACTTATTGTAGTAAAATAGTTGCGAACGTTTAATAAAATACTTTATTTCGAACGAAGGTAAGTTAAATTAAATTTACTTGTACTGTATCGTGAGTATTTTATTTTTAATTATTACAGAGCGTATTTTAAATTAAATAGATACTTCTATCAGAAATATAAATCATGGTTTATTTACAAGCACTGTAATTCTAAATGCCACGCCTTCGATGCCGAAAATCCTCAACGCTGAAATCCTCCAGCCACACATTCTAAATTCTTCCTTCCCACTTCACCCATATTCAACCCTCTTCCTCCACATTCGTTACCCTACTGTACGCATATTGCGTAGGCGACGCAGATCGTCGCATGTGCCCCAAAAACCGGTGACACACTGTGCCCAAATCGCTCGAGGCAAGAATCCAGAAGGAAGGCCGTGAAACTAATCCGTTTCGTTAGTCAGGTCACGTTCCCTTGCTTCGAACGAAAACATTATTTTTTCCGCGATAGGACCTCGCAGGGCCGCAATCTATGTAGGCCAGTCGGCCCAACCGCAATCGGAAGCCCGTATGTCGACTGGCAACCAGACAGAGTTAGTGGTATCACCTTCAGCGCCAAGGTCTCGACCCCCCACCCCCTGTCGTTCGTGTTATCATCGCCAGTCCGTCATCGCGTACGAACTTGGCATCTTTCTGTATCGTATTTGTTCACTGGACGTCGGCCGAGCGATACGAACCGAGAGGAAAGGTTTTCTCTCCCTTTTTCCACTCTCTCCGCAAGGGTGAAAGGTTCACGAACCGTGAGGAAGAATCGGCACACACGCCTCGCGGAGAACTGAGAAAGCCACTGGGCGACGATATCGATCGTTATTAGGCTTTTATTAGACGGAAGTGTTGTCGATGGCGCGCAGAGGGTACATCTACACGGGGGGTCGTGTTAACTTAAGTGAAAATATCACCGAGAGGTCCGTCAGGGGCTGACCACCTCCTTTGCCTTAATTCCCGCGCGATCTGTCACAGAGTCTGATCGCGCTGCTCCCAGAGGCAGGATGCTCTTCTCGTTCTCCGGCTTCGTCCCGAGATCCGAAGAGGTCTGCGTTGAACGCTGCGCGTATTCGAGACTGGTCGACGGTACCTGGATCGTGCCGGAGTGCTTAAAAGAAAAAGGGACAATTACTTCTGTCAACAAATTTTTGACGTCGTTACCAGCGAAGTTCGAAGACGTATCAGAGGAAGGACGTTCGGAGCGAGACCGTTGGGAAACTATCGGATAGCTGTCGCAGGAATGCGAAACACGTTCTGTGAACTATAACTTTCCCAAGTTTGATAACCGATTGACCGGAAGCGTTTAAGCGACGGACCGGATGCCGCGATATCGCCCGGATAATGGTATCATTAATGTCGTCGTTTGCCACGCGAGACACGGTGAATTAGAGTGCGGTTGCTGCTGAAACTATGCCATCGTCGGCTAGTACGTCTTAAGGTTCTTTTTTCTCGTGGACAGTATTGAGTGTTTCTCTTAGAGGATCAGTTAAAAAACGATGACTGTGTATGAGTGCTTTGTTCGATCTTACTTGTGTATTACCACTTTGCTCTTGAAAGGTGACTTAATTTTCAAATCTCGAATTAGTTTAATCAAAGCTTAGCATTCGTGGCAGTAGAATGCTAAGGAAGCATCTCGAGTTGCTGGTAGATACCAGAAAAAAGCCTTCGAGTGCAAAGGGTTAATAGACGAAGAAGTGATAAAGGTTCACGATGGAGGCGCGTGAAAAGTCCATCGAATGGGCCCTGCTGTTCCCCTTGAAGGCAGGCCTCTTCGCCATGAAGTCGTCCTTGTCGTCCAAGAGCGTGAATCGCGAGAAGGACAGACTATCCAAGAAGAATCTGCTCCCCAGCCCTAGAATACGTCGAGGCTCCTCATTGTCCGATTTGGACAAGCTGCAGAGCAAGCCAGTCCTCCCGGATGTGGTGAGATCCACGGAGAAATGCTCCGAATCTCTTCCCCACTCGCCAGCCTTCTCGAGGACGAACCTTCAGCTGGGGAATCTTTACGTCAGGGGCAGCATAGGCGACCTGATGAATATGAAGAAATACGGCGCGTCCACGTGGAGCGTGAGAAGTGAGAGTCTGATCGCCAAAGCTGTGCCTCTAAGCACGGTGACCCCTAGGCACAGCCCGCCGTTTGAAAAGAGCGTCGAGGATCTTGAAGACGAGCTCCAGGATGAGTGCCATGTCCCCGGGAAGCCTTTAACCTGCGCTCAAAGAACGCAGAGGCTCAGCAAACTCATCAAGAAGCAGAGACGCATGATGGTCTTCAGCCCCAAGACCCTGCAGCGTGATCTTGTAAGTGGAGGCTGGAGGAACCTTTTGAATTCTATTCTTGTGTCTGGAGATGGAGATTGTAATTAATTTCGATCGTAAGATTGAGTACTATTTTTGGGAGGGTTGATTAAGTAGAATGGAAGACAGGATTATTCGATCGACTAGATGTTATATGATCGACTAGAACTTATATTTTTCAAGCGAGCTAAAAAGAAAGTTATATTTAATAAATAACTAAGATTTGTTATTCATTTGTTTGAATGCAAGGTGATGGGTCAAATCAATATCAAGGAATATAATGAAGATATGATAAATTCAAATAATTTAATTAATTTGATATTACCGTTGTGTATAATTTCGAATTAGGACAAATAATTAGGTTTATGGTGTACACTTTTTCTTCTGTTGAATTATTAGGTTGGTAGGACAATAATGTCGGTTTTCAAACTATATATATATAAATCCGTTGCAATTTATACGTTTTTCCCAGCGAGCTGTCAATTTTTTAATTCCAGTAGCGTAAAATTCTGTTGTTCTGGACTTGATAAATTCTTTGAACGCATTTTCAGCAGTTGTACTAAATGCCATGTCACACGTGGAAGTGTTTCTCAACCTTCTTTGGCCCGGTGGGTCTTATCTAACAATAGTATTATTTGCCTCCGTAATCTTTCCTATCGTAGTCGCCAACAGTTGGTACGAATTATAACATATCGTTCATTTATAATTCGTAATATAAATCTGACTGAAATACATTTCTGAGCGTGATCCCATTTCGTAAGCGTCGTAGGAAATGACGGAAGTCGTAAAATAAGTAGCAATAATCGAGAATGCGGAACATTTATGGTGATACGTACATTTATTGCGAATGCAGCTCCACGCGAGTTCTTTTTGTCACTGCAAATCGTCCGCTTTACTGGGAGCAAGTTACGAGATTAAAAGTCACGCTCCAACCTACTTCTTTCCTTTTTCGCGTTCCACGAGGAATTACGAGCAGCTCCTATATGGATAAAAATACGCACCACGTTTCCGTTGCAGTTTCAGTCTTCTTTATACGCCTGACGCGTGTGCGTAGTAAACTGTCCTCGTATATTTTCATACAGTATTTACTAGGCTGCGCCTTGGCGTTTTCCTCACTCCTCGATTCATGTTTTATATCGATCGTACATTTTCCTCTTCTTCTCCTTTTCTCCTTGGATTTTGAATTCGGGAGCGAATCGCGCCGCGCATCTTCGTTGGCAATTCGTTGACTTGGAAGGATGTTAGATTTGATGGGAAACGGAGTCATGAAATATTTTATTGCTTCCTTGGTTTATATTCAGAGGAAAATTACGACGATACTCTCGAATGTAGCTTGACTTGTTTATGGCGACTTCTAAGACATTGAGGATTTGAATTTGCGACCTGGAACATTGTATAGATATAAACGAATCACTGATGCTGGCTGTGAAGAAGGGAAGATACAAATTTATGACCACAGAAATCATGTTAGGAAACCGCACATGTAACTCACCGATTGACACTCAATTTTCTTCGTTAATATGATTATTTGGTAGAACTTCTATGTTTCCTATTTTCAGTAAACTGTTAATTTTATATTTATTGATACGGGTTGCACGAATGATGGATTCACTGGGAATTCATTGATTTGGATGAATGTTAGATTCGATGGGAAACGGAATCATCAAATGTTTTATTGCTTACCTTGGTTTATATTCAAAGAAAAATTACGACGGTACTCCTGAATTTAACTTTATTTATTTATGGTCGCTTTTAAGACATCGAGGATTTGATCAATAACAATAAAAGATGAATGTGATTGGATTGTTTGTCGGTGGGATATTCTGAACGATCCTTCATGCGTATATGGTAAAAATAAGTTATCGACCGTGGACTGAGGAGGCTGTAGGGGCTAAAACTAGAAGCGCATCGTTAAACTTGAAACAGCTTCTGTAGTCGCGGCGTGAGACACTTACAGGGGTTGAAATATTCATGGCGCATCCTCCCCTTTCCCTCGTAGGCTGCTCTATCGGCAGGTGGCCTGCATTATCCTCTCGACACCCATCCCGGTGTCTGTTGTTTTGGGTAAAGGCTCCTGTCCCGCAAGGAAGTTGTCATTCGGGAGTTGTCCAAATGAATCAAGGAAGTTCGTATTCGAGTTAATTAGAACAAATTCAGCACGATAGACGAGGAAAAGTATTCTCACATTTCTGACTTAAATCAATACTTTCAATTTTGAAGTTGATTGTTGACATTAATTACAATAAAGTAATTCTGTGAATATGACAGTATATATATTTTTATCTGCGAATATAGATTTTGTAGCTCTGATTACAATCGTAAGTATAGAAAATCTTGAAATTGATGTGTCTTATATTTTTTAAGTAAATGTCACGAATGAATCATATTAATTATAATTTTAAAACCATAGAAATGTAAAGGGGACCATTATACTATTAATTTATAATAAGGGGTTTACGGTAGTGCAGAATCAAGTTTTCGAGCCAATTATCGATTACGAACGCTGCACGAAGTTAACCTTTGATGAGCTGAAAATTCGCCTCTATTGTGAGGTCGACTGTAACAAATAGAATAAGCAAGATACTTAAGAAGTTCTCCAGTCTCGAGATTATCGTGCGATTAACTTTATGAATCCACTGAGGAAGGATAACTGCATTGTGAAAGTAGTTACTGTAACATCATGAGATTAATTAGTCGAGTGCTCTCCAGTTTGCCTTTTTTATTTCTAACCGCGAGTTAACGAGATCTATCGAATTCTCAATGATCATTTTTATGAAAGTACAGTGAACTTATACAATAATATAAAAACCGAAAAGTTGAACTATTCTTTATGAAAATGAAATTTTATTATATTCAACGCTTTCAAAACAATTACAAATTATTTATTATTCGATTCCTTTACTGTTCTCTGATTTATTTCGGTAAATTCTAATTTTTGTATGTATGTAAAGATACTTTTCTTTCGACCGATACTAAAAATTCATCGATTTCAGAGCTGATTAAATTCGAACACGAGAATCCAATCTAGATAATGACAATGATAATGAAATCAGCACTGAATCGCTTATTTATTAAAACGCCCTCCAAAATTTGTGAAGTTTCGCGAGGTACCATGCTCTGTTACGAAGGTGAAAACTTGTATCGTAGTTTAATACGATGTATCGCAGTTTTAGTCGCAACGAAGTACTTGAAAATTTAACGACAGTGCTCTCTTGCAGCATGCATTGTTGCTGTGCAATATACATTGCCGTCTTAGTAAGTTCGTCTTGCGTTGGCTTGTGTTTCATCATCCACATCAAGGAACCATTTTGCACGCATGGAGAGAGTATCAACAAAATTATATTTTAAATTATTTTAAAACATTTCCAAACCATTATTTAAGAGAGATATTTATTTAGTTTCATTAAGGTTTAACCTTACTGCCAAATATTATTGAGATAAGAGTTGTAAATATAATTTAACTTCTGTTACTCACATAACTTTTCTTCATTTCAACTTTAAAACCTTAATTTATATATCTACCACCGATAAAACGTTGGATAATTAAATTAAACATGACGAAAATACCTGTGATCATGTCAGAAACAATTGAAATTCGTAAAGGATCAGTCAGGGATGACAGATTTAGTACAGCTCGAGACCCAATCGTACGTGATTCATAAATAATTCCCCACGGTTATTTCGATGGAAAGGCTCATACTTTGATGTTTACTTTTCCTTCAGCGCTTTGCTTTCCTGTAACGTATCGAAACCTTCTTGAAATCTCTTCTGTCGCTCGGAGTACTCGACACTTTGGCAGACATTTTAAACATGTAAATACTTTTAAATATTTTGCATATTTCTCTTCTGTAAATACTGCACGATTGATGCGTCGAGGGCTTCTCAGATCCTTTGCCAACTACTTAAACGACGTTCGAATATTAACATAGAAGTCCATTCTGATACGTACATGTATATTTAATTGTGTAACAAGGAGAGCTTTTTATTTAAATGTCGAGATATGCAAGTCGAGTTTTTCCTCCTAGTCTTAAACATCTCTACTTTCGAGAGGAAGATTAAAACACCACTCTCAAGTACTTGTAACACAATATCGGAAGTCATGAAGCGGATCACGAGTGGGAGAATCTGTCAAATGAAATCAACGCAGAGACAGATCCTCGAAATTTCGAAAGTACCCTCGGCAATCCTAAAGGAGGGATTCGTCACTTTAACTCCTGCTCGCGGACTACTGTCTGAAATTTGCATATTTTCGCGCAGTTACGCCGACCCAGTAATTTCTGCTTCTCTCCCGCCCCCGCCCTTTGCAATGCACACCATAAAGCTCGAGTTTCGTTGGAGCTTTTAATTTTTGTTCCGTGTTCCCCCGTTTGCTTTGCCGTCCGCTCCATCTGGGTACAAAGAGAATTTCTAAAGTTCGCTTTGGCGATACGTGGGGAACGGGAATAATGTTCGGGTCTCCGGGAAAAATGTGTGTGCACACAATGCTACAAAGGATCTAATAAAATAATTTTTTGGAAAAAAAATTTAACAGACTTCCAAAAAGGTGCAGTGAAAAGTAATGAAATAATTGCATTATCGACCGAGCACTCAACATTACCGACAGAGTAATCTGCGCTATCGGCCAAGCACTCTACATTGTCGACAGAGTAATAAAATTTATGATTTTCTTGATAATTTGTTCATTATTCCAATGTAATGACGAAAATGTAAATTCCGAGGAATATTTCAAACGGGGTTGCCAGGGGAATTTAATTTTACGGTGAAGAAATATTAAGAATGAAGAGAAAGGACATTTTTGGGGGTTAAGTAGGTTAAATGGGCCTAATAAAAAAATGAAATTATTTTCTTCAATTAAAATGCTACAGTAATAAACCGATCCGGTGTGAAGTACTAGACTTTTTCTCGAAATTTTGAATTGTAACTTGCTCTCGTAATTGGCCAAGAACAATCTTCTTCGTCAAGTCAACCGAGTCCCAGACGGCAGCAATGTTTCGATGTTTTGTTTAGATAGAGAGCACCCGTCGACGACCTGTACGGCTCAATCGGTTAGATAAGTCGTTCGCCAAACGAAAGGTCTGGCCTCCAATCCCTGGTCCAGC